TATGAGTGTGGCTACATAAACTACCGTTGCTGGCTTATGCCCAGTATCAGTACCCTCCTTTTGGTTGCTGCTTCTTATCTCTGCAGATGGACTCCTGTAGGAGTTAGAAAGCTCAGGACAATAAACCAGTTGCTCCGGTACAGGACAAGCCTTCTCTTTCACCCAGACAAACCCCCTGCAACGTGAACATTAATGGTAAGCGTTTTATTTTTTTCTCCTTCTACCCTGTTGCTTCCTTGTAGCGCTGAGCTACCGCCGCCATATCGTCGAAATACGGCGGCATGAACTCTCCGACACAAAGGCCTGGGTGGTAGTTGTTGTTGTTGTCTGCCTTAACTGCGGTAGGCAGACTGCAACTGAATAAGCGTGCGTTTTTTTTAGTTTAAGGTTGGAGTACGCTAGATTAAAAATGGCACGAAATGGTAGTTGTGGATGCAGCTGCCTCTTAGCTTGGATGGGGATACAAAGTGTGGAAACACTGGTACTAACCGCACTTTTATTTCCGTTAAAAGAATGAAGCAGAGGCTAAAGAAGCATAGACCTCTGAAGGCTTTAAGGGAAGGGCAACACTAAATACAGTACAAGAGAAGTTTATAAGGACTTTAACCTCAGTATGCATGCAGTCCGCAAATAGAAGGATATGTGGGAACTCGTTCATCATTTTAAAAAGTGTAATTCGACGGAGAAGCGCACTCACCGCATATGGCAACGCTGGTTAGACAATTAGTTGTCAAACAGAATTTCTTAACCCTTTTCTTCACGAAGACTTCTGGAACAGCCCTTATTATACATCAAAGTTATCAGATTGAAGTAATAACCGGACAAAAAGGCGCACTTAAAAGCCTTTAATTTTCTCAAAATAACGACAGTGCACATTGTGACCAGAATGTATCAAATAATTCTGGTTACTGGTGTCGAAGTGATTTGCTGGGGTACGCGGTACTGTGTTAATCTGTAGGCAGGTATGTTGCGGAATAATATATACCGCTCTTCATTATAATATTACAGTGGACTCTAAATTGGCACCGGCCAAGAGACACGCTTACCATTCAGACTTCAAACTCAAGGCTATAACTAACGCAGTAGAACTGGGAAATAAAGTAGCTGCGATGGAATTCAACCTTTATAAATCAATAGTACGAAGTGGAGGAAGCAAGAATATGACAGGCGCCAAGCCCTGAGGGAATAAAGCGAGATGGCCACAGTAAGAGAAAAAAATTGAACGGTACGTTTTGGAACGGAGAGCAGCAAGAAGAAGCATCTCTACAGTCTCTTTTCGAATTAAGACGACAATTTAAGCACGGGACATGAATAGTAATGACTGTCGAGGTGGTCCTTCTTGGTGCTTTCGATTTACCAGAAAACGTTATCTGTTTATCCGCAACTGAACTACCGTCTCGCAGCAGCTAAGAGTTATTATGAATGCATTCCACAAACTTTGACTGACTGACTTATCTCACTGTTATGTTTCCCTTAGTGTGCCTTATAGTCTGCACTGCGTTTTATATTAGAAAACATTTCTGAAAGTGAGCGTCGGATAACTGAACAGGGAGCAGCAGGTAGAAGCGTCTCTGTAGTGAGTATTGTATTTTACGTGTTTTAACTGCACAGATTTGTGAGTAATTGTATATTCGTTCATTACCGCTTGAACTATGTTGAAAGTTACTGTTTACGTGTTCAATAAGGTTTCACTCGTCTGACCGTTTAATCCCCCTTAATGCGTCTTGTAAGCCGGGGCTCTTTATGGAAGGAAAAAGCTAAAAAAATGTTTATTATTATTTTTCAAGGAAAGGCATCCTTTGGGAAAATTAGTAAATTTATTCAGTAAATGTTTTGCACTGGATCCCCAGGTCTTCGTCAGACTTGAGAAAAATGTGCCGAGAACAATTATATGCTCATCTGGTGTGTGGGTTGGACGATACATTTATTGTCTTTAAAAAGAACCACTCTGAAGCGCTCCACAAGACCATCAACTCAACCATTCCGGCCATTCGATTCACGCTCGAAAAGGAGGTTAACAACAAAATCCAATTTCTGGATGTTCTCGTGCGGTGAAATGCTGACGGGATATTACAAACGTCTGTTTACCGCAAAGACGCATATGCGGAAGTTGTTCTTAACCATGAGAGCAACAATTCCATCTCCCACAAAAAAGAGTGCCGTCAACAGTCTGCTACGCCGAGCGAGGACACACTGCTCTGACGAAGAAACCTACCAAAACGAGCCAAATTGCCTGTTTTAATTGTTTTCCCGCACTGTTCACCCCAAAGACTTTGTACGCCGATGCATGAGATAACAACAGTCAAACAAAAAGGAACCAGATAGTTCCACTCAGGCGCCCAAAACAAACACATGGCGAGTCCTTCCTTATATAAGGAACGTTTCTGGACTCGTTGAAAGACACTTGCAGAAACACCAAGTAAAAGTGGCGTTCAAACCGATGTCTGCTTTACGCATTTAGCTAGCACACCCTAGGGATAGTGTTGGCTACCTTGATAAGAAAGAAGTTGTCTACAAAATCCCATGTGAAGCTTGTGACATGGTTTATTGTGGCCAAACAGGAAGATTCGTCTCCACACGCATCCACGAGCACCAATTGGCAGTGATTAGATGTGACCGTTTGTCCGAGGTGGTTATGCATTGCCTTGACACAGGACATACTTTTGCATCGAACAAAACACGCATCGTCGCAGTTTGCTCCTCCAAAGAAGGCCGATAATTTCTTGAGGACATGCACTCCGATGATTCATGCATCAACCGGCGTATCAAGTGAGCTGGAGTGTACAAAAACCTCAAAGAAACGTGGGAGAGACTACAATCGACAACTATGGAAGAAAATGAACCGCAATTAACGCTCACGTCAGATGACCTGGACTGATCCCGGATTGACTCAAATTACAGTTATGAATTAGCCATTACGCCATTAAGACTTCTGATCATGCCCACCACGATATAACGCAAATTTCAACTCCCAATTAACGCCCACACCAAATGACCTTATAACTGTATCAGCACTTTGAAATGCTAACTGTTCTTTGCACACTTTTTCTCGAGTCTGACGACGACCTGGGGATCCAGTGTCGAAAATTTACTGAAAAATATAACTCATTTTCCAAAGGACGCCTTTCTTTGAAATTAAATTTCTGGAGATGCCTGCCTTTCAGTTTATACGAAAAAATATATAATCCAGTGCGGTCTATAATGCAAAAAATATGATAATTCGTTAATGAACATTCACCTGAGCGCTAACGGAACTCATCTGTCCCTCTTTGACAGCCGTAACAGCTGGTATGGATAGAGTATATTGTCTAGTTTAATATCTCCTGACCTAAACCGAGAATATAATGAGTTCATGGGTTACTGGTTAGGGCGTTTGACTCTGATGGAATGGTCGCGGGTTCGAGGCTCGGGCGGGATACCACTAGGATCTGGGTATGACTGGCGGACGACAGCTACTAAGGCAGAGATGGCCATTCCAGTCCCCATCGTCTTTGCCGTTACAATAATTGACGTCTACCGATATTTTACTACTGACAGGTCAATCACAAACGCCTTGAAGCAACAATAGTTATCAAAAAGACAGTCAAAGTTTTCTGTAATTTGACAATGATTCCTTAAAAATATGACCTACTCCGTTGCGTCGGTAGTTCTGGTGGGTAACGATGGTGTCAAAAAGCAGGCCCGTCTTATTTTGGCCTTGCTTCTCATAGAGGATGGTCACTCGAAGACAGGGAAAGGCGGACCTCTCCTTGGAACACTTGTTCTCACATTTTAGCGCGGGCATATGCAGTTCTGTCTTCACAATGTAACACGTACTCGGTTCAAATCCGGATTCGTGTAGAAAGGGTAACACGAGGAGGTGGATCAGGATGGCTCCCACGATAATAGAGGTGGTGAAGGTAGCCGCACATAGAATATATACCACTTTGATAACAGTTTTGCTGTGCTCAGTACAGAACAAACGTTGCACCCGACGTTTCATGTCCCCTGTTAATCCCTGGATTTTCTTAAAAATGATAAAACATGTTGCCGGAACTGTGTACAGTTGCCATTAACCAGCTGGGACAGACAGATTTACTTAACGATGTTTGGAGAAAAAATGGTGCGATCGAATTCATCTATTGGTCAAAAATGCGCCAATCCCCGTGTACGAAAACAGTTTATTCTCGTGGTAATGCATAGCAGTCTCATTTTGCAGACGAAAGAAATAGTAACACCGAGTTGCCATTATTGTGAGCGTAATGTACATTTTAAAACGCGTGGCTAGTTTTCACCCGATTGTTGAAATCTTCTACAGGAAAACTTACAAGTCAATCCGCACATGTATTTATTTATTTGAGGCAGAAATGCATCAATAGTATGCATACAAATGATACATTATATTATTATAAGTCAATCTGTTCATATATTTATTCATTTCAGGCAGAAATTCGTCATTTATTTATTAATTGAACAATAACAACTAATATCGCGATATATATGGGAAGCATTCTTTTCGTAATGTTTGTATTTCTTAACTTTGTCATCATTCACCTTTCCAGATCTCAATTATTTGCGCAGACATTTATAAAGGGAAAATTGGCCAAACACAGTGAGAATAAACAACAATTGTACGACTATCTCAAATAATTGTATCCACTAGTCGGCATTTACCTCTTCTCCACTTTACGTTGTCCGTTTAATTACTGTTGAAGGAAAGTCACTTCCTTCCACGGAGTCCTCCAATTGACTTATTGGAACCCATACAGCAGTCTCATTTTTCAACATTAAACAATTAATGCTTGGGAAACTACCCATCTTGTGATAATGCCTCCATTTTGACAGAGATATATAAAGAGTAAGGTCAGGATTTCGTGTAAAATGCCGAAATTTGCGAAAGATTCATAATCACTCAGAAAAACTGGCATAACATAGGGTTGTAATGCTAATTATTAAGCAGCCTAATCTCAAGTTATTTAAGTCATGTCAGTATGCCGCCTCGTAACCTGGCTTTCTTTTGGCCGCTGAAAGAAATATTTTCTGAAAAAAAGATAATTAAGTAGTATGCATTTGCGTAATTTATTTTGACCGTCCTCATAAATTCGAATTAATTTTGTAGAAAACATTCACAAACCAAGGTATCTGTTTTGTTTGGTAGAAAGTTTGGCCTTCTTGAAAAAATCCTGCCCCCGCGCGGTTTGAAATTTTTAAGCAGTGGCGTTT